GTTTTCCTCTGGACGCCCATGTTGAGTGCTGGGGCGCCGCCTTTGGGCTTTGTCTTTGCGGCTTACATGGTGAGACTTGTACAGTATTCCTTTTGCTGATGTTAATTCGATTCACATTGACCTTTTCATGAGTAAACATACATTTTTTTAATTAATTTTTTTGGATTCAATGGGGCCCTTAGATCTGGACGAAATTGGTGCTTGGACCTGATTGTCCCTGTATGTTGCAATGTCTGAGTATTGAATCATATTTTCCCATAGACCTCAATGGTAACGTATTCCATTGGTTTTCCTGTTCATCAAAAGTTGGGAAAAATCCTCAAAAAGTGGAATGCAAGTTTATTCTCAACTTGAAGATAGGTATAGAAAATATCTTTGCCAAAGAGAAGCATGCAGAATCTGATCATTGGCATAAAAAGGGTCTCAAAAAGCAGAGATTAAGCAAAAGTCTTGCTATACTGTGCATAAATGATTTTAAAAAACTATTGAAAACAGCAGAAAATTAGTTTTTTTTGGATTATGGATTAGAGTAAATTTGTAATTTTTTTCACGTGAATTGTGTTTAAATACTATTGGGGACAGATTATCACCGCAGTATAAGTTGATGTCAAGTGTTGCAATAAAACACAACAATCAGTCCAGGACAGGACTGAGAATTCCTTCTAGAAATTCCTAAGTTAACAGGCTAAATTTATTTCACAGAGGTAATCAATAAATGACTCAGCAAACTCAACTCAACTACTGATGATGATATGATTGAACATGAGCTGCTTATATACTCAAGAGATATTTAACCTTCATTGTTTTCTACTACATGACAGAAAAGACTTTTAGTAGGTCAACAAGAATTTAGAGTGAAAGATGCGATGGTGCACTGCAATTTTGAGGAGGTGAAACAATTTCTATGAATTTATATTTAATAATAAATGCACGGCATGCTTGCCCAACTTATACAGTAGCTCAATTTATTTAAGAGGAATCAAAATGATGAAAAATTCGATGTTTGCATTTTTCTAGAACAGTTGGCATTGGCAAAGTGTAACATAGAACTCTATAACAGGTCTATTGCACCGTACAAAAACTCATAGTTACTGATCGCGAATCAACTTAGCAGGTGTAGAACCCCACAGGTATACAGCCCTCGGGTGAACATATACTTTTGCTTACTTCCAGTCGTTTCTGTAAAATTAGTAACAAAGGTCGGGTAATGAGTGGGTAAATGGGAACATTTAGAGCCGTATGAGGCTGTTCAAGTTGTAATTTCTGACTCCTTGATTTTTTTCCGCCATTACATAGATGTCGCCTTTTCAATTTCGTTTGACATTAACGAAAAATTAATCCCTTCTAAAAATTGTTCAAGAAAAAATCAATATGAGATTCATTGATCCATGAATAGATTTTCAAAACAAATTTAAGACTCAAATTTGGAATTGAGCAATAAATTTTGTTTTCAGGCATCAATTTGTTACATTAATGTTTTTTTTTCAGGTGTGTGTGATGCTTGGGTCGTCCGTATTCCGCATCGGCTTTTCGGACGGCCTGTCGAAATCGTCCGACGCCTTGCAGCTCGCCGGTGTGCTCTTGTGCGTGTCCACGGCAGTGACATCTGTGATCGAAGGAGATTACTTGTTCACGTTCTCGACGGAAATCAAATACACTGCAGCGTTTTTCATGTTCCTCTTGCTGGAGATCTCGGTCGGGATTTATTTCCCCGCGATTTCGACGCTGAGAAGCCACGTCGTTCCGGAATCACACAGGTCCGTGTTTTTACACCTCTTTTTTTATAAATGAAATAGAAATTGAGGGTTGAGTATTCTGCCAATTCCACTTATTAGAACTCATCAGTCAATTTTGCGTGTAATTTGAACGTTGCGTCAAAAATTCGCTGACTTGCAAAGTTTTACAGTAAAATCTCCTTACGACGAAGCCACCTACAAAAAGCGTTTGTTGCAATTAAGAACGTGTTTACTTCGTAAAATGACTCGTGATGAAAACTGTCGTGAATTCCAGGAGGAAAAAAACCCCTGGAACATTATACAAGAAGTTGAAATTAATTAATTCATCCGACTGCACGAGAAATATCCAAGTTTCAGGAGAAATTCCCCAGATACGTAACTCTTGAGAAAAATTGCCGGCAATTTTTGTATGAACTCAAAACCATGTTTGTCAGGCTCTACAAGTCTACAGCATATCCAGTAATTTTCCAAATCCCGTTTTGCCTGAAAATATTCTCTCAAGGAGGAATAATCTCCAAATTATATCTCAGGAATCATTTCCTCTCCAAGAAATGATTCCCCTATTGTTCAAAAGATATTCATCCGCAATTTATAAAAGCAGCAAGCTTGTCCTAGAAAAAATCAGGATCTTGTTAGCCATTGCGGTGTGCATTCTCAGAGAAACTTTCTTGTGCACATTTTTGAAGTCTCTCTTGAAAAGGTATTCATCTAAATCTACCTGACGCATATATCGGAATATATATCCCACATTATTGTTATGTAAAACTGATGTACATTTTATTCAATTGACAACTGAGCAAAAAAATTAAAATGCTCATTTGCATTTCCAATGCAGTCACGGGTCTATTATACCTCATTATAATGTCATTTGTTCCTCTTGATAATGACCAGGGCTGGGATTATGAACTGGTTCCGAGTCCCCATGAACATAGTCACATGCTTCAGCTTGATCCTGGCCAAAAAGAGCAACGCTCACAAGGTGTTTGCTGGCTGTGCACTGTTGGCTGTCCTTTGCATCCTGGCTGCTCGTTCCTTACACCGGCGGCTGTTCGGTAAACAATACTCGCCTTTGCCCGAGGCCATTGAAGTTAAGGAGTCTGCCTAGGACTTCATTTCTTTTTTGTTTCGCAATAATCCCGACTATATCCTGTGCCTTTTTTAAAATACCTCTCTCTTCTATTTTTTTTTTTTCCTCTTTGTTTTCCGCCTACATCCGCGTAGATTTGGAGCAGAGGCGAAAGGTTTTGGGAAAATCGTCTTACGGACGTTTAGATGAGAAGCATGTAGCACCGGCGAAAGGGGAAAGCGGTTTTTGAGAATTCAGTGATTTTCTGTGGTACAGGTAAAACTTGATGTTTCTGAGGTATTCTCAGTTTGTGTGGTCTGTGTAGAAGCACTCGCCGAATATCGGGTTCCAGCGAATTTTTAGACTTCATACATGAAGCGCAGCAGCAGTCATTTTTAACATGCTTTCTATTCTAACAATTCGCGGTAAAAAAGTAAACCAGGGTCACCGTACCCGTGGTCCGCAAAAATTTGTTCTTCAGCATCATAAATTTATAAAAAAAAAAGTAGAAATGACGTTTATGTTAATCATTTTGACGTGAAATTTCGGAAAGACAATGGCAGCTTAAATTATCTGATGAAAAATAAAAAAGCTGGCTTTTCTCCTGATAACACTTCAGACAATTTTTGCCTGCTGAAATAAATTACAGTATTTTAATTTCTCATCCCTAGGAAACTTTTTCCTCTTTTTTTAATTTTTTGAAAATATTCCACTAGAGCTGCTTCATTTGTTTGTAACTCAATTTTTGCAAAATGCAGAAACATTTCAAATGACTGCAATGAAGTCTTTTGAACAAGAATTTTTGGGTCTGCGAAAGTTTATGTGAAACGTTGTTGGTCCTCAATTTAATTGGTTGTAATTCAATTTAAAGATGAGTTTTTTTTTTCAAATAAAATTTAGTTTACATTTTATTGACTTTTACCTTTTTTAAGTGCTTTTTAAATATTTTAGAAAAAACCCCAGTTCTTCAAACTGCTTTTTGACTTCAGTTAAATGCAATCGTTTATTCGTTTTTCGATAATGTAAAACATACAATTTCCGAAAAATGTTGTGTTTGCAAGTTATATTTTTTAGGTGCAAAGGCCAGCGTAATCTAAAATTGGAATTTCAGAGTGTTCTTAAAAAACCGTGGTGACAGCCAATTTTCTGAGGATATTATTTTACACCCAATTTGAATTATTTGGGAATATTTTGTTGACATACCGTATTTAATCCATAACCGGATTTTTTCGCTTTATGTGTATCATGCCAAAAATTGTGAAACGGGGGCTGATTTGAGAGTGAGAAGCCCAATAACACTTGGGATACCATGAAGAAAATGGTTGCCTTGACATTCAAAAGTTCAACATGGATACTCAAAATCATGTGGGAAACATTTTTGCAGTGACTCTTTTTTTTTGTGTCTTCATGCACGTTTGCTTGGGTGATACATTTTCGTCGAGGAGACGAAAGAAAATACGGTTATTGCTTATTCTTGTGATAGAAAAACTGTGTGAACGGCCAGTGTTTTTTTTTTTTCTTTCACACGGTGTGGAAATTCTTGGTGCCTTATGACATTCCGCGATCGCGAGGAAATTTTTTTTGTTTAAAATTTGAAAGCACCGAATTTTTCTTTGTAAGTTTAAAGATTTCTTTTTGCTGTTCATTTTTTCGTTGGAGAAAATTCCGTCTTCTTTTTTGGTGCAAGAAAGAGTGTTCGGTTGCTCGGAAGAGTTGTGGTGTCATCAGTGAAGTATTGAAAGCAATTCGGTCTCAAACACGCCTGAATTTCTTTCTAGGTAATGTCTTAAATTTTCCAGATTTTATTGTTTGTCTAGCAACCAGCACGTAACGCTTGAAGCTGTGGAAAATCTTCAATGGTTCGTAGCTTTCCTGTTTGACAGAAAATCTTGATGTTTGTTAAACCTGTGATTGAAATTTAAGATGCAGACTCTGTGTCATATGTCGTGAAAAATTAATCATTTGCGAGAAGAAATAATTATTTTAAAATACATCAGAAAGGTGATTTAAATTTAAGATGCAGACTCTGTGTCATATTTCGTGAAAAATTATTTATTTGCAATTATTTATTATTTATTTTCAATTATTTATTATTTATTTTCAATTATTTATTATTTATTTGCAATTATTCATTATTTATTTGCAATTATTTATTATTTATTTGCAATTATTTATTTAAATTATCAATTTTTTATTAAGAAATAATTATTTTAAAATATAGAGAGGTGATTCATAAATTGAATCCGCAAGAGAAAAAGGTGCTAAAAATAATATAATTAGATATCATTGCTCTCAAATGATAAAGAATAAAGAAATTACTGCGTTTTAAATAATATTCCTAGAAATTTTATTAATATAAATATAAATGAATAATGTTTCCAGCGCCCAAAAATATCGATAAAATTATTCAAAAATCAATTCGAATGAAATTCAATTTAAAGTTAAGGTGATATTTTAAAATAAATTTAGTTTACATTTTATTTTTTTAATGCTTTTGAAATATTTTATTTTTAAAAAAACGCCCATTTTTTAAAACTGCTTTTTGTCTTGAGTTGAATGCAATCTTTTATTCATTTTTCCAAAAGGCAGCACATCTTTCAAATTTTGAAGATAGTCTGGCTTCTTATTCCCTTCTAAGACAATGATATTTTAATATTTAAAGAAATTAATATTTCATTTTTGGTGCTATTCTGGTGCTTGGATGGCTGCAGAATTTTTGTACTCAAGGAGAATATTCCAAAATGTTTGAGTCAATATTTTCTTGAATGACTGAACCATAGTAAGTTATTTCAGTTGCAGTTTTTTTGAAGAAAAGCATGCACTGCTAGATTATTTTCAATTGCCTGGTCTGTCAGGGAAACTAAAAGTATATTTTACCAAATTAAATATATTTTCTGATTAATTTTAGAAGATTCAAAGTGTTGATATTTTCATTTCTGCTGTGAGATAACTCTGGGTTTGAGTGTCATATTATGAAATTTTTTTTTGACATTTTTGTGGGAATTGAAAGTGTTCTGGAAAGAGATTCAATGCTGTAATATCTTGGAGCTTCCATATTAAAGTGCAATTGAAAACCTCTTCAACTCAATTTTCTAATGAATCTCTGGTCAATAACACTAATCCATTTTTTTAAATCAGTCACTCAAAACTGTTGGTCTCTATCTTCCTTGGTCAAATTTGCAATTTTATGAAATTTGTGCTAATTTATTATTATTATTACAGTATTTCCAAGGATTTCCATCATGAGTGGAAGTAACCACTGTATGCAGGAAGGACATGTAAGAATGATGAAATCTCCTGATGGTTAAAGAATAAAATATTCTTCCTTGATTAACCAAGGCAAATCTATTCCGTTATTCAGAAACTTCTAAATTCAGATTTTTGTTGTCCCTTCAAATTTGACTTCAGAGAGGATTAAATACATCTTTGGGTAGAACAACTTTCTAAAATAATTTATGAATGCTTTCTAAGAATGATTTTCACTTAGCATTGTAAATTTTAGATCTTTACTTGAATATTTTCAACAGGATTGGACATGAACATGAATGCTGCCGCAATGACCTATGCAGATGACTTCACCTGGACAAAGTTTTTGGGCCTCTGTACATTCGTAGCAAATTTAGCCACAAGCATGTTTGTGGGTTACATGGCTGATGAATTTGGAAGGAAACGTTTGGCACTCTGTGGGGGAGCCATCCAACTCTGCTCAATTATCATGGTTTCAAAGTACTCTTCTCCCAGTATAGAATTTTCCAACGTTGTCATCGCTATGACTAAAGGCGTTTCTTTTGCCATCCAGCAAGTTGTATATGAAGCTTGGTGAGTGTGCTTTATTATACTGTACTTGCAGTGTACCATTTGACTAATAGCAGTGCAGATTGACTAATAGTAGTGCAGATAACAGCAATATACAGTACACACATCTGGATTTTTTAATAAAGAAAGCAGCACTCACTTTTAGGCACAATTGTCATATAAACTCTGAAATTAATGGCTGCAGGTTACTGCTGAACCTCTCTATGTTAAATTAAAAGGGACTCCTAACCTTTATTATTTTGGGGAGTTCTTGAGTTGAAGTGTTTATTAAGCCCGATTATTGAAACTGACAGTATTATTACATGTCCTATATATACTGTACAAGGTACAGTATTATAGGAAGTTGTCTATTCCCCTGTGAAAAGCAATGAGATACTAATTTACATCTGTTTTATTAGTTTTCTGGAACAGATCCTTGGAACTGTACCCCTTGTTGAACAACACAAAGACCTGAAACACTTTTGACTAGAGATGGTTACCCACAAAAGTTATTTATTATCTAGGGATTTCTTTATTATTCAGCCAGCCATAACATATTTTGCCATAAAGCATGCTAAGTGTATTATTACACCGTATCCAATACCATACTGTATTGATTGACTTGCCTGATACTGTACTGTATATATATATATATATATGCCAGAAATATCTTTTTTGTTCGAATTTTACTCACATGAAATTTTGGATATACTGTACAATATTGCACGACCAACATCTTTTGGAGGACAGAAACACAGTAAATGACTAACGCATGTTGATAAATGGGAGGTTTCGCTGTATATAGTACTGCATATTCCATTGGCCATGTTCTGTACCACATGATGTATTGTAGTTGTTCTGCTCTATGAGGTCCTTTCCGAATTTTGTGCCACGACAAGTATCATGGTTGTTGAGGCGACATTTTGGAACGTGGCACACGTCTCGCGTTTATCTGTTACCTCTAATGGAACTCTTAACCCAGAAGGCTTCGTGGAGAGGCTGCCGTGCACTGTCTGCGAGGCCCTGATACCATTTGTGTGAAATCCAGTGCGATACCGACGAATGCGTCTTCATGGTCTCTTGGCTTTTTGTGTTGTTACTACTGTATTGGACGTATTTGGTCTTCAGTGTTCTAAAATTAGTGTGCCCGAGAAATTTGGATTTTTAAAGAGAAACATAGGTCTGTATCGGAAATCTCAACGGGACCAAGCAGTGGTGTACTGACCCAAAAATTCTATTTCAAGAAAACTTTTTGTTTTAATACCTGGGCTCTCTTTTAGATTCTTGAGCTTCACTTCCTTCTTTGCAACTAAGTTGTTTGCGGACGATATTAGTCGCATTTGTTTGTGCATTCCCTGATCTCAGCACCTTACGACCTCGATGATCGCCGTTGTTATCGTTAGTTCAGTCAAATCTGACCAACAGTCACTCTTGACCGAAATTAATGTTCTGGCATTGCTTCCTTCAGTTATTTGCTTCAGGTTTGTGTTGGTTTACAAAATTTAATCCGACACGATGGGTGTTCTTCCGTCTCATCGTCCGCTTGCTTTCGGACTTACCCAACTAGGAAGAGCGACAAGTTGGCTGAGCTTCTGCCGATTCATATTGCATTCACCTGACGGAGGAAAACGAGCCGTGCAGTTGGTGAGTGGTTACGACGAATATTCTAAGATTTTTAGTTGCTGTGATTAAGAATGAAATTCGACTGAATCTCACGTGTCGATATAATTTCACTTGGGGAAGACTTCTGAGAATTTTAATGAAAAATCGCGTTCGATTGGTTTTTCGAAGCTGTCTTTGAAAGTTCGTTCTTCGTTCTCTTCAGTGGCCCGGAATGTTCCAAGAACTGCTTAAGTCTCCGATCTATCCCACATGAGGAACCTGCAGAAGGTGAGTTCATCTTCATGGTGTTCAGATCATCCTGATAATGATTAAACTTCAATGACTGATTTCGCTGAATTTGAAATCGTGTAGAAAATCATTCTTGGGGAAGACTTCTGATCGTTGAATCTGTCGCTCGTTCAATGCGTTGATCGTCTACTCCCTGTGAACGGTCGGATTTTCATTTTTTCTTACAGCTCTACTGAGCAGTTCTGTTGAGCAAGCTTTCTGGAATGGACGCTCTTGCCTGAGGTTGGTCATATTTTTGGATCTCGTTCATACCGACACGAATACAGTATTGTGATGATTTTTTCCGTCCGATCTCAACGAGAGTGTGGATAGCATAACTTGGGGAAGACTTCTGAGAGCTTGTGTTGGATCGAGTTGCGCGACCTGTAGTCTTCGAATATAATCCAGGGTCTTTCTTTTTCAGTGTTCCTTGGAGCCTCTGCACTTTTCCGGCTTTGTGACACCACTGCAGGAACGGTTTTCTTGCATGGTAAGTAATTGTTGCAGATTCCGAGTAGGCATCCGGCAATTTCTGGATCTTCTGCATCGCTATGTTAAGCTCAAACGTAAACTTGCGCAGAGATGGCTACCTCATCTTAAATGTGGTTGCCACTGATGCGAGAGCTTACATTCAAAACTTTTTTCATGTACTGGTATTGAAACTCTTTTTCGTCCCTGCGTCGAATTCAATTGATACTGCTGTTGAGTCGAAGGGATTTTGCTTTTTTTCAATCTTTGATGTATGCAATTCTAGTGCGGAGCCGCATTATGAACCACTCACAGCTGCTTGAAAAGTTTGCCGAATACTTTTTTGAGTCGTTCCAAGAGTGGAATATTGATTCGCAAGTCGCTATGTGATTCGTCGTTCAATGCGTGGGACCTATCACACGAAACTTGCGTACATTTTAATATATGACGTAAAGGTTTTCTCCTTGCTGTACCTGCTGATTTTTTCCAAGAGCTTCAAAAGCACGTGTATGGCAACAATGGTGTCCCTTTCCGGGATGTTCGTTGCGATTGTACTTATTCATTCCCTGATGGGGGATGAATCGAGTTCCGGTGTATTCTTTCCTCCTCTGCCGACGACTGTTGAAAGTCGTCCATTTCAGTTGTCAGCAAAAGCATTTTTCTTCTGTTACGGACTTTTTTCGCCTGCTGTAGCGACATCTAGGGCTGCGAAGATTACTAATGTGAATCGGTGAGTGGAGAGATGTGGTTAAAAAGTTGTGTCAGTATAGTACTGTAGCTGAGACAAAAGAATTGTCTGAGACCAAGGCTCTGCATTGAGTCATACTATGTCTAACCATTGTTGGATCAATCATTAGACTCTGTTGGGCATCAGATCTTTCTTTATTTTCCAGCTTCAGTCCTATATTATACAGCTGCTTGTATATACAGTATAATGGAGTATACTCCTACTACAACCGCATATTTAGAAACTTTTACTGGCCGTTTCAAAATAATTGGTCGTAGGGCATATTTCTACAAGGACGTAAATTGAGTTCCGTGGACTAATAAATAATAGTAATAAGGTGGAAAATGTAGTGGCTCCATGATTGGTTGGCTGCATTATGGGCGGAACCTTGGAATAATGCTGATTGTAATCACATCAACTGCTGGATTTCATGGATGGATTATGAAGTTTTCCTCAGGACTAGCCTTCTTTTCTTTTGTGGCATCTTGTGTTTTATGGCGTACTGTTTGAACTGATGATATCCTGAAAAATGAAATGTAACCCGCTCCTGTGGTTGTAAAATACGCGAATTGTTTTCCTAGGAATGCGATAAAACATACACTTGAAACTGTCAGTGCTGGAATCACATGCATCTTTATTGGTCTTATTCAACTTTCTCCTGTAACACAAGAAGATTTGACATCTCAAACAGTACATGTAAATGCTTTATAACTGTTGGGTACTTTTGTATATTTTCAGTATTCAAATGACTATATTAGAAGTACTGTACTGTGCTGGATGTCAAGTTGAGTTATCAAATACAGTACTGTATAGCACTGTATCACCAAGCTGTTTATCCACCTTTCCATCATCAGCCAGAAATATCTTTTTTGTTCGAATTTTACTCACATGAAATTTTGGATATACTGTACAATATTGCACGACCAACATCTTTTGGAGGACAGAAACACAGTAAATGACTAACGCATGTTGATAAATGGTAGAATCTATACTCTGCTACTCCAAAAATACGGTCCTATCTTAAGCGACACCTTCCACCAGAGGTGGAGTATGAGCAACACCTCCTCAGAACATTACTGTACTGTGCTAATACTATACATTTGAACCCATTTGGTTCCATGGAGTACGTATAAAATCGAAGAGGGAATTCTTGTTCACAATTCGTTCAATATCTGTATTAGTGCATAGATTCAACTACGGTACACAGAATTGCTATTGAGTCAATGGTTTACAGTATCTGACAAGTACTGTATACAGTATTGTGAATGCGAAGATGCTTCGTGAGGTGGCCAAGTTTCAGCCGAGGTGATCTCTATTTGTAGCGAATTCATTCCAGAGCTGGAAGATTACTGTACAGTATTGATTTGCTCATGTCAAGCTAAAAAACCTTGTACTGTACACTGTTCAAAATGTAAAAAAAAAATTCCTTCAAGTGCCATCATTACTTGTGTGAAAATGTCAGCGGCCAACGCAAAGGTGTCGGAAGAAATTTGAATTTCAATGATCCAGTAAAAAGCAACTTATTATGGGATCTGCATTGGTAGTTCAGTTCTCATTCGTCTCATCGTCCGCTTGCTTTCGGACTTACCCAACTAGGAAGAGCGACAAGTTGGCTGAGCTTCTGCCGATTCATATTGCATTCACCTGACGGAGGAAAACGAGCCGTGCAGTTGGTGAGTGGTTAGACAAATATTCCAAGATTTTTAGTTGCTGTGATTAAGAATGAAATTCGACTGAATCTCACGTGTCGATATAATTTCACTTGGGGAAGACTTCTGAGAATTTTAATGAAAAATCGCGTTCGATTGGTTTTACGAAGCTGTCTTTGAAAGTTCGTTCTTCGTTCTCTTCAGTGGCCCGGAATGTTCCAAGAACTGCTTAAATCTCCGATCTATCCCACATGAGGAACCTGCAGAAGGTGAGTTCATCTTCATGGTGTTCAGATGATCCTGATAATGATTAAACTTCAATGACTGATTTCGCTGAATTTGAAATCGTGTAGAAAATCATTCTTGGGGAAGACTTCTGATCGTTGAATCTGTCGCTCGTTCAATGCGTTGATTGTCTACTCCCTGTGAACGGTCGGATTTTCATTTCTTCTTACAGCTCTACTGAGCAGTTCTGTTGAGCAAGCTTTCTGGAATGGACGCTCTTGCCTGAGGTTGGTCATATTTTTGGATCTCGTTCATACCGACACGAATACAGTATTGTGATGATTTTTTCCGTCCGATCTCAACGAGAGTGTGGATAGCATAACTTGGGGAAGACTTCTGAGAGCCTGTGTTGGATCGAGTTGCGCGACCTGTAGTCTTTGAATATAATCCAGGGTCTTTCTTTTTCAGTGTTCCTTGGAGCCTCTGCGCTTTTCCGGCTTTGTGACACCACTGCGGGAACGGTTTTCTTGCATGGTAAGTAATTGTTGCAGATTCCGAGTAGGCATCCGGCAATTTCTGGATCTTCTGCATCGCTATGTTAAGCTCAAACGTAAAACTTGCGCAGAGATGGCTACCTCATCTTAAATGTGGTTGCCACTGATGCGAGAGCTTACATTCAAAACTTTTTTCATGTACCGGTATTGAAACTCTTTTTCGTCCCTGCGTCGAATTCAATTGATACCGCTGTTGAGTCGAAGGGATTTTGCTTTTTTTCAATCTTCGATGTATGCAATTCTAGTGCGGAGCCGCATTATGAACCACTCACAGCTGCTTGAAAAGTTTGCCAAATACTTTTTTGAGTCGTTCCAAGAGTGGAATATTGATTCGCAAGTCGCTATGTGATTCGTCGTTCAATGCGTGGGACCTATCACACGAAACTTGCGTACATTTTAATATATGACGTAAAGGTTTTCATTGAGTTTCTGTATGCGGTATACGAATGCAGGATTTTAGGGATAAGTCGATTCATACCGAGCGCGTTTGTCTTACCTCGATTGCCTTTCTGCCGGCATTGTAATTTATCTACCGTTCTAGATTTTAATGGAAATATTTCTCTCCCTAGTTCGAAGCGTTACTGGAACTTCGCCCTACCAGAAGATCGCTCTTTTGGCTTCTGCCTGCTGGTGAGTCTTCTCGTAGTTGTTGAAATTCGGAATGTGCAATTTAAAAGCTATGGATTATTCAGTGTTCGGAGTCAACCCATCTATGGTACAGTAATTTAAATTCCGTTCATCCTCATTCAGACGTCCACCCCCAGCTACATCGTGTGACTTTTTCTCAATGTCCGTGCATGTCGTTTATGGGTGGTACATTGAACTGTCGAGTCGCTATGTGAACAACTTCTGCTTCGCTTGAAGTGTTCACACGAATCTTGTCAACATTGAGTTCATTGTTAGTTTTTTACGGTCATTCGAGGCTATGTCCTGAGAAAGGTGAAGTTATTTTCAATATAGTAGATTCGAATGAGAGCTTCTCAAGGATTTGGTTACGCTGAGCTATGGCTGAAGGTATGAAGCCTCACTTTGATCGGTATTTGTGAACATTCCTTTTTTGGGTTTTGACTCTGCTGCATTATACAAATTGAGTTCTCATACTGTATTAACTTTACCTCGGTCTGACGGAACTTTTGTTTTCCACAGGTCAGCAAGTGGTATGCTTCGTCGATTACTGTTCGTCCAGAAGGTTCCGTTTTTCTTACATTCGGTCTGTTCGGATGTTATCTGCGTGTTTTCTTGAGTAAAGTCTCCTACAACCACAAGTATGTTTGCATTACTTTTATTCGTTCGCTGTGCGATTTTTCTTTCAAGCTCCGCTTTTGCATCTTCCATCTTATTTCCAAGGAAAGAGTATTGTATTCTGTAATGTTCTGCGGAGCTCGCTCTGTCGCGTGCATTTCTCGGTCCCGTGATATGCATGTCCGCTTCGCCAGTAGTGACGTTCCGTTTCGGAGGGCTGCAATCGGAAAGTTCTTCCAGGAACCACCTCGACTAGAGAATCTATACTCTGCTACTCCAAAAATACGGTCCTATCTTAAGCGACACCTTCCACCAGAGGTGGAGTATGAGCAACACCTCCTCAGAACATTACTGTACTGTGCTAATACTATACATTTGAACCCATTTGGTTCCATGGAGTACGTATAAAATCGAAGAGGGAATTCTTGTTCACAATTCGTTCAATATCTGTATTAGTGCATAGATTCAACTACGGTACACAGAATTGCTATTGAGTCAATGGTTTACAGTATCTGACAAGTACTGTATACAGTATTGTGAATGCGAAGATGCTTCGTGAGGTGGCCAAGTTTCAGCCGAGGTGATCTCTATTTGTAGCGAATTCATTCCAGAGCTGGAAGATTACTGTACAGTATTGATTTGCTCATGTCAAGCTAAAAAACCTTGTACTGTACACTGTTCAAAATGTAAAAAAAAAATTCCTTCAAGTGCCATCATTACTTGTGTGAAAATGTCAGCGGCCAACGCAAAGGTGTCGGAAGAAATTTGAATTTCAATGATCCAGTAAAAAGCAACTTATTATGGGATCTGCATTGGTAGTTCAGTTCTCATAAGGTTATTTAATTTAGTGTATATTTGAACATAGCTTCTTGTCATCTTGATTAGATTGAGAGATTGATCGTCTCATAGGACGATTTATTGCTGTATTTTAAAAGAAGAGGTTGTCAAAGAGTTCGGGTACGGAGATGTTCTGATCTGCAATTAACATAAGATAAATTTGACTTGAAAAAGGTTCGTTCCTTATCTGACGACAATCAAAAGTCTGGAGTTCTGGACCAGAGTAATGCTCCGAAAATGAAAGACACGAACACGGTTTTGTCACACCAACGACTGAACCGGCCATTTTGTCCGGGGCCTGAATTATCTAAACCTATTCGGAATCAAAAATCCTGTAACGATGCCCTTGCCGGAAGTTGCATTGTTGTCAGGTGTATTTCATACTGGATAATGATTACAGGTTTTCGAAGACGTAGATGCCGACTTGCTTCGGTTCGGCGAAAGAACCGGGAAGGAACTCTGGGCGCTCAGCCGAGAATGCGAACGGAATCAACCTTCACTCGTGCAGTTCGATGCATGGGGTCAACGTGATGACCAAGTAATTACGTGCAATGCTTGGAAGGAACTTAAAGGTACGTTAGCCTGTGAACGAGGAAGCCCGATCAGGATATTCATTGATACAAGTGTTCATGTTACAGCCATTGGAGCTGAGGAAGGCATCGTGGGATTAGCCTACCAGAGAAAGCATGGTCAATGGAGCCGATTGCATCAGATCGCGAAAATGTTCTTGTTCCATCCGAGCTCAGCTTTTGTGACTTGTCCTTTCGCGATGACGGATGGAGCTGCGAAAACGATTGAGGTAAGTGCTAAGAATTCCATGGATTCAGTAAAAACTCACTTGCGGCACCTTGTCTGAACGGGAAGCATTGTAAATAATTTATTTCTGGCTCTCTTTTGTCCATGATTCTCTAAATTATTGACGTAGTACTTTTCTTATATACTTTGACCTGCTCGTGGTTCTTTGTTGTGCTCTCTGACACTCCGAACTGAACAGTACAACATACATCATCAAAGTTTCCTTTCTTCGCACATTGTGACCATCACTGACAATAGACTTCTTGACTTATTCGAAAGCCTGTATTGCTTAATCTCTTTAGAATGTGTAATCGCTTACGCATGACGAATTTCTCGTAACAGAGTAATTCCGCGGATCCCAATGGCTTTATTCGTGATAGGGTTTACTGTGATTGCAAAATAAACTATCGATTTGGAATGTATGGTATGTACAATACAACATTTTATTTCAGGCACTGCAGTTGCGTGGCGTACCAGAAATCAAGGAAGCGTTCTCCAGGCTGACGTCAATGGATCGATCGAATTTCTGGACGTCTGGTGAGGAAATTGATTTCATGATTGCTGCGTTGTAATCCGCAACTGTCGCTGGTATTTTATGATCTTCAGGACAGTGGATGACAGAAAGAGGAGGTGGTTCTGATGTAGCAAATGGCACGGAAACCATCGCCATACAGCAACCCGGAGATGGGACGAGGTTTAAACTCTACGGATATAAATGGTTCTCGTCCGCGATTGATGCGGATGTCACATTCACATTGGCCAGGATACGTGATGGGGATGGCAACACTTCAGCCGTGAGTTATTTTCAATCTATGCGTGAACCATATGCCGGGTGGTATAAAATCAACTTACTACGAGTTTTCCGCTTGTCTCTGTTCTTGTAAGTTCTTGGAAAAAACCGAAACATAAGTCAATTTAAACTTCTACGCAGGATAAAGGGGTTATTGCATCACTCGAAATGAGTTGGTGTGAATCTAGAAGTTGGTGGCTGCAACAAGTGACCTCGATCCACGGTCAAAAAACTCTTATTTGATAGGAAATAGGTTCTCGCATAATCGGAGAAATCGTCTGTTATGTCCTTCAATGTGTATAACTTAGCGTCGAAGAAATCAAGAACATTCAGGCAGAAATCTGAGGTTTTTTGTGGTCGATTTCGAGATTCTTTCATTTCTTTGTGAAGATGTAAATCCTATGTTTGTGTAACACGGTTCTCGCGTGTATGCCTCACAGGGAACAAAGGGGTTGTCCATGTTTTTCGCGAAGCTGAGAGATGAAGAGGGAAGACTGAACAACATGGAAGTGATGAAACTGAAGAACAAATTGGGAACGAAACAACTGCCGACGGCGGAGTTGCTGTTGGATGGTCTGGACGCTATTCTTGTTTCTGAACCAGGACATGGAGTGGCCTCCATCTCCCAAATGCTCACGGTTACGCGTTTGCACTCGGCCATCGGGGCTATTTCGGCAGCAAGACGGTAAGCAGTTCAAATCGGTGTACTTGCTTCTGACAAATTTTCCAAGGCATGAAAGAAATCGAGATTTTTCAGATTTTTAAATGGACATAAGCTATCAAATTTGTTAGGATTCAGTAACAATTCGACTGAATTAAGCGAAAATTCAACTTTTCTGCGTGCATAGCTTTTGATGTAGCTTTCCGCGTTACGAAAAATTTGTGCGAGAAAAAGTGAGTCTCATAAATAAATTGTTTCACTTAAAATCTTTTTGCTGGAAAATTCTCGAATTTTGGACTAATGCCGTGAAACATTTGAAAGAAATTGTTGAAAATTACAGAAGTAGTGCATATACTCCTACATCAGGTTCATCTCTGCTTGTCTTGAAAAATTCCAAATTCAGAAAGTTGAGAGCACGAACTTCTCCGGATTACCGTACTTCATTTTTAAAAATGATCAATTTTAAATTCAAAAATGTCTTCTTAAAACTAGAAGAAACGAAGTTATACGATTCTTAACGGTCTTTCGTTGAGTGTCGGGAACAAGTACAGTACTGTACTGTAGTTCAGTAATGTAACAATAGGGGCAGTAGTGCTTCGCATCATGAAAATTCCTGGTTATAAAAAACGATGTATCCAGCAGGAAGTGATCAGGTTCATGTGTGGCACTTATAAATCAATTATAAATTTTCTTGGTCAACCCGGAAACTCGATGAGTAACCGAACAGAATCACTATCAATTAAAATTTTGGAAAATTGCTGTACTTTGGCTTGGGTAATTCCTGATAATTGGATAATGTTGATGACGGTCTTCATTTAACCATGGTTTATCTTTTCTTGCAAGGCTGATGCAGCTTTGCAGAGACTACAGCTGCCGCAGAAGCGCATTCGGAATGATGATCAAGGATTCGCCCCTGCATATGCTCAATTTGTCCTCGTTAGAAATCCAAATACGGGCTGGGGAATTATTCTTGCTTGACGTTTCAAGGTACTGTTCCTTATTTCAACCCGTTTTCTCAATACGAATTCAGTGTTTCCATTCGATTTTGAAAGGTATTTGGGTGCAGACGATGTCGGCCTCTTGCAAAAGGACGAATCTATTCTTTTTCGGCTCCTGACTCCTGTACTGAAAGCATTCTACGCCAAAACTATGGTCAATGTTTGTTGCGAACTGATGGAAGCTTTCGGAGGTCAGGGGTACATTGAAGACACTGGCATTCCTTGCCTTGTCCGAGATGCGCAGGTATGTTAATCAAATTACAGAATTAAGATTGACTTTGTTATACAATACCTATGCGAAAAAACAATTTAACGAACAATAATGTATCTCTTGTTTTTAGGTACATTCTATCTGGGAAGGGACGACGAATGTTCTATCACTTGACGTTCTCCGTGTACTGGCGAAGACGAAAGGAGAAGTCTTGCTTATATTTAATGAAAGAATTAAGCGGATGACGCTCGACGTGAAGAACGCTGTCGAGAAACGTGGACTTTCCGATTGTAGCGAAGCGTTGGTGACCGCCACGACGTCTCTTCTTAAGACCGCCGCTTCAACGAGTCTGGACCAAATGTCTACAGGAGCTCGAGATTTTACCTTCAGCCTTGCTAAGATATATTCCGGTTAGATTTCCAATCTTAATATTTACTTGATTGGTAAAATATTTGCATTTATGCGCTCATTTTGTGCACGAATATAAGTTTAATATATTATTGTTTCACCATAATTTTTAAAAATGCTTCAGATATCATGAAATTAACATAATATTTAAAAAACCATGTAATGTACTTCTAGTATTGTCCTCAATGTAAAGACCTTGTTCCGCATAATTATACCTTTCATAAACATGTGTAACCCAAAATTCGATTTGACAAGATATCGCTCGTGTCAAGTTCGAAAATGAAATGTTCTCCCAAAATGTAAAATAAATAGTCTGAACATCATTTTAAAAATCACTTCTTACCAATTACGACACCCGAAAAATTACTTAAAGATGAAAAAATGAAATACATGGAACATTTTGAAATTAAAACTGTCGAATAATCAATTTCGTTCTATTATCACCTAATACATTATAAATGTTACGATATATAGTAGAACATTTTCAATAATCACTTGTTCCTAAATGATATAATTTTGATAAAGCAATAATATAAATACGTGTCCATGAAAATTATCATTTTTCTTTTGAAGGTGCTTTGTTGTTGGAGCAAGCTACTTCAACGGAAGCTACTACATTCGATCAAGTGAGCGTAAAACGCTGGTGTGATGAAGAACTGAATCCTTTTGAGCGAAGTTCAAAACGAAACTTATTTGGGAAGAAAACATATGAAAAAAATGTCGACGGTTTGATGGAAGGTTATTGATTTGGAAACCAAATTTTATCATCTGCATGAATATCTATTTTATCACCACACTTGAAAATAAACCGATTGCAATATTCATTTACGAACTCATTTCATAATTGAAAGAAAATTTCATTTTTTTTCTTCAAAATACTAGCGACTGAAAAAACGCCTCAGTTTAATTAAAAACTTTTAATTAAACTGAGAGGCGTTCTCCTTCGTGATTTCATTGTTATTCCATCAGACTGGTATACAATGAAACTGCTGTTATTTTTTTACATTTCCAGAACCACGGTTAGAGCCTGTGCACTCCTCTGCATCACCGTCAACACCCAGTTCTTCATTTGGTGAAGCAGTCTCTCTGCCACATTGCATAATCTTGAAAAGGCTTTACTGTTTGTAGACGTACAATACTACCACAGTACTTGAAATTTTCTACTAATTATTGACACATCTCATCAAATTAATCTAAACAAATATATTATTTAAAAAATATTAAATTAATATTGATAAATTTAATCTAATTCATGATCCAGAAGATGCTAATTTGCACACATCTCTTCAATAAATTCCATCAATTTCATAAAGCATAGAAATAAGTTAGCTTGCTTTTTGGACTCATTAGATTTGTTTTTCTAGTTACTTCTGCAGTTTTTTCATCATAGAGTTATAACTATTCTTGAAGGACTTTTCCAATTTTTGGCAGCAGAAAAAGTGATACAACATACTGACAGTCTGAATATTATCATATGGACACAGTTGAAAAAAATATAATCACATCCACACCTTGATTTCCTCCTATGTTCAACTGCGTCCATCACTTGGACAATCCCTGCACATTTTGAGTTAATCCGGTAATTTGTTCAACATTTTGGCGTTGCAGGTAACATCAATTCGGGCACCCTTGGGATGACCGTAGGAAGTTTTATCACGAAGCAGGCTTCCAGAAAAGGTTATTTCAACTGAATAGCCCAATGAGTTCATACATTAAAGAACTAATCCATTTCAGGTTTTTTCAATGCGAAACATTCTTATGCGGATCACACATTCCCTCATCGATGCATTTTTTAAATTTTAAAAATAATCCCCCGCGGGACTATGGATTGCGTGGTGAAAAGGTTAACGAAGTCCACCGACAGCCTTACATTGTTTCTTTAACTTGTTTCAGGAATCTGTAGTGGACATGTACAGTAAACAGATGTCACCATTTAACATTTTCTGGGTTTTCATTCGGATCATGGGTTTCCAAAGAGTGGTTGGAAAGCTGAGAAGTGTTCACGAAAGATGAATAACAAGACTTCTTCTAAGAGAAAGCCCAAAATCGTAATTTTAGGTACCCAGCATCACAATAATGTTCCGTGACTCGGGACATTTCTGAGGTGTTAGAAAACTTCTCAATTTTTCTGCTCAGGTAAGTTTATAATAGACATTTTTCTTTTTTTTTTGTGCAGGTCACTTGGAATTACAATTCCAGGCTTCACCCGTGTCCAAGTTTGTTATTCAAGATTCTCCCACATTACTTGCAGCTTTCCAACCCATTAGTCAAATGAAATGGTAGCATCTGCTCTAGCGTACAAGCGAAGATCAACTTTATACTGAACAAGCTGGGGGTGCCCAGCCACACCTGGGCATCATGTCACATTTTTGGTTAGGAAAAATTGAATGTTTTACAGATTTTAATGGGTGTAAGAAGGTATGCCCAGGCAAAACTGGTTATTATTACACTTTGTCAAAGAAACACTCGGATCGATGTTGACAACTGCCGACGGACTCTGTTTCGACAAATACTTGGTATACTCGGATCTTGCGAAAATTCCAGCGGGAAAATTAAGAGCTGCCATATCTGACGACTGTTCCAATCCGGATCCCATATTTAAAAGAAGTCTCGCAGGATTGAATTTGCAAGACGCGAGGAGATTTATGATGGTTGTAGTTGCCGCAGTTAAACAAACGGAAGTCATATTTGAAAGTTGTGAAATATCTTCCCGCTGATTCGGTTTGCAACAGGTTAATTATAATTTTTTACGATTTTGTATTTAAGGTCGCTGCTATAAAGAAAACAAGTGAATGATCCGAGACCAGCTCTGTTGTTCACCAACGTTTAGTTGCAGCAGAGCATATTGACCACAAAATGGTTTCCTCTTATCAAAGAGCGCGCTTTTATATAGATGAGAGCCCCGAACTTCATTACGCAGTCATGATTCCTGTTGCTTCAGCAGTAACTCTGACAGGAAAGTCGGGGCCAACCAAAAGGACCCTGTGCAAAAAGCAGACCATACAGGAAAAAAATATGCTGAATGCCTAATTTTTGTATGAGGTAACATTGAAATGTCTTTTGCTTTTGAAACTTATTAGCTTTAGGAGATGATGAATAAGGTGACATCATATTATTGGTTATTTAGTTTATGCATGAAATGGTGGCTTGGAGATAATGATTATAGGAAAGTGCGTGACTCATGTCAAGGAGACACTTATAAGATGAAAATTAATTTTAAACCTGGCTGAGACACATTACTGTACAGTACAATACTTCACAAGCAACAGTATTATCCTGGTTTATTTCATTCCTTCAATAAAATGTATGCGCATGAAAAGGAATATAGAAATGGTGTTTTCATGAATTCCTTTGTCAAAGTTATTTTGGAAATTTTGTACAATAAATCTTGATTTCATTGTTGTTTCCCACCAACATTCCTGCTGTGATTTAATTTTTCATCCTTTATTTTGTGCCTTCTATGTGATACAGTTAGACATGTTTGAGGAAGTTTTAATTTTTATGTTTACATTTAGTTCTTGGCTGAATTTTGATTAAACATGTATAAAAAGTAGCCCAGATCTGAAATTGGAAACTTTTCTTCTCTGTAATTTCCATCATTGTTCTTTGGGTCACATTTTAGATGCTAAAACTAATAGAGGATTTTTTGTAGTTGTTCAAGAAGTACAGTTGAAGCTCTCTAAGTCAAATTTCTAGGGACCAGGAAAAAAATTTAACTTAAAGGGAGGTTTTGAGTATAGGAAACAAACATTTTTGCTGCAAGGAAAAGTAAAAAATTGTGGGAAATTTTAGATGAGGATATTCTGGGCCTAAACTTGTATCTTAATGAGTTTACAGCTTTCTGAACTTGGGGGCAGGGGTTCATTTGTTCAATTAGTCTTTCACTTCATTTGAAGATTCATAAAAGAATTTCTTTTAGTGATTTCCTCTTTCATATTTAAAAGAAATGATAACCAAAAGGCCTCAGAAAATTTGACTTACAGAGGTTTGAGAGAAAAATGCTTTGATTTAGGAAGGTTTTTAATGCATTCTTTCTAAGGGAATCCAGACACGGACTTGAAAAAAATCCTGGTTATGGAGGTACTGTATTTGACTTAGGGAGGTTCAACTTAACAAGGTTCAACTGTAATTTAGCAACAGACACAACAAAATTTAATATTGAAACTGCGGTTGTGAATTCAATCAGAGCTGCAGAATTCCTTTTTCAGAAATCAACATATTCAATTGCTGCATTTAGTTTTGATAAATTGTTCAACCTGTGCCATTTATTTCATTTCTCTACCATCTCAAAAACTTCAAGTTTAATTTGTGTGTCCCATTAAAAGTTTAACGTACAAAAAATCAAACTGTGTTAAACTCTTCTGAAAGTGATTTTCTTCAGTACATTTCCTCTCTTTTAATTTTATCCATGTCCATTCTTGCGTTATCTAATACTGTATATGACCTCTTTTACGGGAATATGTAGATTTCAAGAATCTAAAAGATTGTGTATGTATTGATGAATTAAGTTTTTCCTGGATACATGTGCTCATCTCCTGTTTCCAGCAATTCTGTAGTTTCACCAGTCTTTGTATTTGGGTTAATTTTGTAGTTTCTGTTGTTGGCTTGTTGCTATTCAAATGTGTGCTTTGCAATATAAATTTACAAGTTTTCCAATGGACAAATGAAAATACGGTAGAATCTTGTTACAACGAAGCGTTTGGGATCTTGAAAGGCTTCGTTATAAACCAAAATTCGTTAAATCGAAATTAAGATGACATTTTGGCTATCGAATATGAACAATAAAAAAAATCGTTGTGCGCATGAATTCATTAAAATTAAATTCGTTGAAAAGAGATTCTACTGTGTATGTCTTTGAAAAATTGCAGTTGTGAAATAATCAAGGGTAATTTTGCTGCGGGCTTTTTGTCTGGCGCTCCTTTCGTAGCTGAAACTTTATAAATAAGGGAGTGCGTCAAACGCGCTTCGCAAGAAGCTTTTTCAATCATTTCCATATAAGCGAAACTAAGGAGAATGCCAATCATAGAAATCAAAAGGTGTCACGTACGTGCGGTTAAAACAGCAAGACATTTTGACAATCATTTCAAGTCTCTAACGTGCGTTAATTTAGCGACGTGCGTAAGGAATATTATTCCCCTCTTCCGAAAATCATGATGTCTTTTTTCTTTTCTTCAATATAATCGAGGGCCTGTCTCTTTATGTACCGGGTGTTCATTATAATTATTCCAGTGAATTACACAATGATTATTTTTTGTTTCAAGTTCTGAACAGTGGAAAATATTTACGAGCTCGTACATGACGACATTCGAAAATCGGCTTTAATCTATCGAGTTGGAGAATTTATAAAATGGGCATCTCCAGGGTGAGAAAACATTATAACTTTTAACCGTAAAATACTCAGTGACTATCATCGATTGCAAAGACAAAATCTGTAAACAATTATGTAAGTGATGCCTGATGACCAATTGCGGATTCAGTTATATCTACTTTTTTTGAACAGCGAGGCATTAGGACAAGCACACGATAATGCTGTACAGTATATAAGACGAAGGATCGAAGTCGCTGACATTGACATCCTCGAACATTTATGTGACCCTGATGTGACACATAGATGTCACTAATTTACATGACATCGTGGCCGCGCGTCGAATACGGAAAATGCACGCGTCGCAAAACGAGGTATCCAACAAACAATGCGACGGTTTGACAGCTGCTGGAATGAACAGTGATCTGATTTCATGAGTCAAACTGATACCCATTTCATGTTTAGTCAGAATGATACCCAGTCGATACATCAGTCGGATCATCCGGTGTGATTTGACACCTCCGAAAATTCTCATCGTCCCTCAAGCCCTTTTATATGCGTATCATGTATATTTTTTTTACCTCGTGCAATATATCCGGCAACGGACGTGTTATATAATCACTAGAATATTCAGGATCACAGATAATAGAATCAAAACTTCTGAAGACAATCCTGCAAAATCACCAGCACCTGCCCATTTCCCGTTCAGAAGGCAGTTTTTCACTTTGATGTTAGCGACATCGTGCGGAGCATATATTACCAATTTCCTTCGGTTCTAAAGGCCGAAAATTGATGACACTAACCTCGAAGATGAGTTGCATCATCAATAATTAAAATAAATTTTAAACCTTCACGGCGTGAGGATGGAATTGAATTGCAAAATTTCCCTTACTCAGCAGAGGTTCAACCCATTTACAGTATCAATTTATAACTTCAAGTCATTAAATTAAATCACTTTTGCGCAGACAGAGGTCACTCCATTCTCTAAGTGACCTACGCCGTCAAGTGATGTTCAGCATTCCCACCGCGAATCAGTTCTGTCATTCCATAGAGTATCCTCCAAATAATGCATGTCCGAGCGGACAGGTTGATCAATGCATTTCCTACCACATCGAGGCTGGATGGGCCAATATGTTCTTCATAAGTAGCAGCGGGAGGGCTGAGTTTTCTTGAGATAAAAAAATTTTCAATTCCATTCAACTGGATTGATTCTTCCTGGCTGTTTTCTAGAAAGAAAACACGTCGACTCTTCACAACCATGTTATCTTGCAAGGAATAGTTTCTCTGCATACAAAATTTTTCTGCTCCACAGTAAACGTCAACTCGTTCCATGAATGTTTCCTGCAACGAAATTCTGGGAGCAGAAAAAATTGATTCGCAGAATAATTTGTTGCGCTGTACTGTATATTTGAGTCCACCTGCACCTGATCATGATGTTGGTATGGGTATACGTAATACAGTATCAAGAATGTGACATTCAGAAGTGATATGTTGGTGATAAACTCTGTGTAAGCGTTTCTTAGTCGAAGCTTAAAGCATGAAATGTTCCTAAGTGAGCAGTACAAGTTATTACAGACATTACCTCGGTACATACTATAATACCGGTAACCAAAATGCGGCTAGCTTCAAACCCATTCCTCGCGGACTGTACTTCGTGAAAGACACCTAGACGTGCTATCGCTTATGGGTTTGCGTGGCGTTTGTTCCGACGCAGTAACGGGTTACGAATGCGTGGCTTCCAGATTATTCGCGTGGGCAAGTGAACTTCGAAGTATTCGGAGTGAGGTTAATGTCGCCTGAAGTATGGTGAAACATGAGAATGTGCTCATTTGTGTTGCTTGTGATCTGTGCAAGCTCAAATTCGAAGATTATCATGAGCGCGATGAGCATCGGCGTTCATTTCACCGAGTGGAGGCGTCGCGAGTATCTGTGAAGCAGGAAAACTCAGGCTTGAATGACGAACGGCAATTGGCGAAACCATCCAACAAAACCAAACGGAAACCGAAGCTTCGGATCCCTACGTCGAAGTGCAACACATGCGGGGAGGAAATGCCGTCGAAAGATATAGGGAAACATCTTGTTCAAATTCACAATCACCGACCATTCAAGCGTCGTGAGGCGGTTCATCAGTGTGAATTCTGCCATAAGTGGTTTTATACCTACTTCTCCAAAGTCAATCATTTTTCTGAGGATCATGAACCCTGGCTATGGGGACCGTTCATAGAAAAGTCGTCTCGTGAGATGGCTGAGCGTCAGCCCCCATTTTGTCACGAGTGTATGAAGAGCGATTTTTTCTCATGGGGTCAAGTTCAAACGCATCTTCAGGAGCAGCACGGTCTGCGTCCACGTGACGAATTTCTTGAGCAGGGCAAAGAAGGTATGTATTCCATAAATGAATTCATGAGGAGATTGTACGAAGTATGCTCATCTTGCAGAGCTGTGTTCGGCGGAAGATGAAGATGAGACCTCTGTGATATTATTGGATGCTGATGAAGAAGATGCGATATTGCTCGACGTGGATGATGATGATGATGCGGTCTTGCTTGATGTCGATGCAGATGACGATGTTGTTGTGCTGAAAATGGTAGAGGAGGTAATCGTTCTAGATGACGAAAAGCTGCTTCTTGATGAAGTTTGAGTACCTGAATGATCTCCTCGTAATTTTGAATGCTTTTTTACCTTTGGAAAGGGTTTCGGAGATGAATTATGCGTAGTGTGTATAGTCTGGATATTTTTATGAGAACATGGAATTGCGTGAAGCAATGCAGATTCTAAGTACTTATCCTTATCTTAATCGATGGATTGTGCCGAAAAAAACATGAATTCCTCAACGAAGTGACGCTACGTTTAATTTTTTTACAATGTGATCTTTTCCCGTTAATGAACTACAGTACGTAGCGTTGGTCCCGCAGTAGGAGACCCGATTCCTTTTTTTTACGGATTACACATTCCCTTCAGAATACATTTTGATAATTTTGAATTGTACTCGAGGCCGTGGATTCCATGGTGAAAAAAAAGGTGTGCCTGTGTGCTTCTACACTCGTCACTTTCCTGGATGTAGTCAGGTGATCGACACCGTTTATTTTCCTTTGAAAAATCAGAACTCAGTATGAAGTTGATCTTCGCTTGTACCGGCTAGAGCAGATGCTACCATTTCATTTGACTAATGGGTTGGAAAGCTGCAAATAATGTGGGAGAAACTTGAATAACAGACTTGGACACGGGTGGAGCCTGGAATTGTAATTCCAAGTGACCTGCACAAAAAAAAAAAAAGGAAAAATGTCTATTATAAACTTACCTGAGCAGAAAAATTGAGAAGTTTTTTAACACCTCAGAAATGTCCCGAGTCACGGAATGTTATTGTGATGCTGGGTACCTAAAATTACGATTTTGGGCTTTCTCTTAGAAGAAGTCTTGTTATTCATCTTTCGTGAACACTTCTCAGCTTTCCAACCACTCTTTGGTAACCCATGATCCGAATGAAAACCCAGAAAATGTTAAATGGTGACATCTGTTTACTGTACATGTCCACTACCGATTCCTGAAACAAGTTAAAGAAACAATGTAAGGCTGTCGGTGGACATCGTTAACCTTTTCACCACGCAATCCATAATCCCGCGGGGGATTATTTTTAAAATTTTTAAAATGCATCAGTGAGGGAATGTGTGATGCGCATAAGAATGTTTCGCATTAAAAAAATCTGAAATGGATTAGTTTTTTAATGTATGAACTCATTGGGCTATTCAGTTGAAATAACCTTTTCTGGAAGCCTGCTTCGTGATAAAACTTCCTACCGTCATCCCAATGGTGCCCGAATTGATGTTACCTGCAACGCCAAAATGTTGAACAAATTACCGGATTAACTCAAAATGTGCAGGGATTGTCCAAGTGATGGACGCAGTTGAACATAGGAGGAAATCAAGGTGTGGATGTGATTATTTTTTCAACTGTGTCCATATGTTAATATTCAGACTGTCAGTATGTTGTATCACTTTTTCTGCTGCCAAAAATTGGAAAAGTCCTTCAAGAATAGTTATAACTCTAAGATGAAAAAAACTGCAGAAGTAACTAGAAAAACAAATCTAATGAGTCCAAAAAGCAAGCTAACTTATTTCTATGCTTTATGAAATTGATGGAATTTATTGAAGAGATGTGTCCAAATTAGCATCTTCTGGATCATGAATTAGATTAAATTTATCAATGTTAATTTAATATTTTTTAAATATTAATGTACAGTATTTGTTTAGATTAATTTAATGAGATATGTCAAAATTTTGGAGACTGAAAATTTTGATGAAGTGTCTGTGTCTTAGACATTTTCCTGATGTGGGGGCATATTTCCTGAATTTGAAATGTCCGTTTGTTGAATTGTCCTTATGTTGGGAAATCTTACGGCCCCAATAGATTTCAAACAATGTTCAACATCCTGAGCAAATTACATTAGTTTTAAAACTCAAGTTGTTAAACTTTGTTCTTGTTTCAAATTTTAGGACCTTTTTTCAGTACACTGCATGATGGTAATTGAAAGCTCACAGGTAATGGTCATAGTTGAAATAATTTGTTATTGCGTATCGGGTATCTCACTCACTTCTCTTGAAGTTTTCAAAAATTTTGGATGATCACAGTACTGTACTGTCGTTTGTTCACAAAAATTAATTTTGAAAAATGGGTTGTTGCATTGGCAAGGGGTTTATTTATAATTTTTCTCATTTTTTCAGAAGCATTGTATTGGCCCATGTTTTCTATTTGTTATTGTATCCTATCAAACTGATATTTAATGAAACTGCCATTTTTTTATTTGCCGAGTCATGGTCAGATCATAGGGTGATTCAGTTGGGGCAAATCCCCTGGCAATTTTTCCTGTGCACTCCTCCGCATTGCGCTCTGCTTCTCACATTTGTGCAGCGTCCCTGCTAGATTTCAAATTTTTTAAAGTGAGGTTTCAGTTTGTCAACATTTTTATGCGCACAACTTGTATTTCTAATTGAAATGATATTCTTTCGCTCTTTAAAAAATATCTTTTGGATTTCAGTCTTTTACATCGATTTTATTGCAATGAAATTTTCAATAGATTGAATTAGTAGAAAGTTTCAAGTACTGTAGTAGTATTGTACTTCTACGTAAAGTAAAGCCTCTTCAAGATTGTGCAATGTGGCGGAGAGACTGCTTCACCAAATGAAGAAGTGGGTGTTGACGGTGATGCAGAGGAGTGCACAGGCCCTAACCGTGGTTCTGGAAATGTAAAAAAAAAAAATAAAAATAACAGCAGTTTCATTGTATACCAGTCTGATGGAATAAATGAAATCACGAAGGAGAACGTGTGCCAACTAGGAACTTTTAAATGAACGCTTTGCCATTGCAACCAGCATTTTCTTGTGAAAAAACTGCAGCAGTTCTAATGACCGAAAAGTGAGATACATGATATGCCCTTATCGAGTAGAAAACTCTGACCATTACATGCATTTTACACTAATTATGAGACGAAGTTGTGTAACTTTTTAAATCTATTTTTGAATATTGTTGGAAGTATATTGGGACTGTAGCACACGTCGACTTCAGAAAATGTTTCCTCCCAATTGAAATCACATTTTTCTTTTCAAAATTACTAGCCACTGAAAAAACGCTCATCAGTTGAATTATAATTTAATTGTCCAATACATTGTTTTTAATTAAATTGATAAGCATTTTTTCAGTCTTTTGTTTTTAGAAAAAAAAGTTTTCTTTTAATCATGAAATAAATATATTCATAAATGAATATTGCAATTTGTTTATTTTCAACTTTGGTGATAAAATATTCATGTAGATGATAACATTTTGCTTCCAAATCAATAACCTTCCATCAAACCGTGGACATTTTTTTCATGTGCTTCCTTCCCATATAAGTTTCGTTTTGAACTTCGCTCAAAAGGATTCATTTCTTCATCACACCAGCGTTTTACGCTCACTTGATCGAATGTAGTGGCTTCCGGTGAAGTAGCTTGCTCCAATAACAAAGCACCTTCGAAAGAGAAAGAATAATAATCTTCTTGAACACGTATTTATATTAATTGCAATATCAAAATTATATTATTTAGGATTAAAAGATTACTGAAAATGCTCTACTGCATATCGTAACATTTATAATGTATTAGGTGATGATTGAAAGAAATTGATCATTATTCGGAAGTTATGATTTTCAAATATTTCATGTATTCAAATTTTTTCACCTTGAGTAATTTTTCGGGTGTCGTAATTAATTTCAAAATAATGTTCAGATTTTTTATTTTATATTTCTGGAATCTGTTTCATTTTCAAACTTGACACGGGCGATATCCTGTCAAATTTTGGGTTATACTTGCATACAACATATTTGTCGAAGATATTCGGAACATTACATTGAGGGTAATACTAGAAGTACATTACATGTTTTTTTTAAATAGTATGTTTATTTCATAATATCTGAAGCAGTTTAATATACTATTATTATACCATAATTTTTAAAACTTGGAAATTCGTGCACGAAATGAGCTTATTAACGCAAAAACTTCACCAATGAAGTAAATATTGAAATTGGAAATCTAACCGGAATATATTTTAGCAAGGCTGAAGGTAAAATCTCGAGCTCCTGTAGATATATGGTCCGAACTCGTTGAAGCGGCGGTCTCAAGAAGAGACGTCGTGGCGGTCAACAACGCTTCGCTACAATCGCGAAGTCCACGTTTCTCGACAGCGTTCTTCACGTCGAGCGTCATCCGCTTAATTCTTTCGTTAAATACAAGCAGGGCTTCTCCTTTCGTCTTCGCCAGTACACGGAGAATGTCAAGTGATAGAACATTTGTCGTCCCTTCCCAAATAGAATGTACCTAAAAACAAGAGATTCATTGTTGTTCGTTATATTGGTTTTTCGCGTAGATATTGTATAACAAAGTCAACCTTAATTCGGTAATTTGATTAACATACCTGCGCATCTCGGACAAGGCAAGGAATGCCAGTGTCTTCGATGTACCCCTGACCTCCGAAAGCTTCCATCAGTTCGCAACAAACATTGACCATAGTTTTGGCGTAGAATGCTTTCAGTACAGGAGTCAGGAGCCGGAAAAGAATAGAGTCGTCCTTTTGCAAGAGGCCGACATCGTCTGCACCCAAATACCTTTCAAAATCGAATGGAAACACTGAATTCGTATTGAGAAAACGGGTTGAAATAAGGACAAGTACCTTGAAACGTCAAGCAAGAATAATTCCCCAGCCCGTATTTGGATTTCTAACGAGGACAAATTGAGCATATGCAGCGGCGAATCCTTGATCATCGTTCCGAATGCGCTTCTGCGGCAGCTGTAGTCTCTGCAAAGCTGCATCAGCCTTGCAAGAAAAGATAAACCATGGTTAAATGAAGACAGTCATCAACATTATCCAATTATCAGGAATTACCCAAGCCGAAGTACAGCAATTTTCCAAGATTTTAATTGATAGTTATTCTGTTCGGTTACTCATCGAGTTTCCGGGTTGACCAAGAAAATTTATAATCGATTTATAAGTGCCACACATGAACCTGATCACTTCCTGCTGGATACATCGTGTTTTAAAACGAGGAATTTTCATGATGCGAAGCACTACTGCCCCTATTGTTACATTACTGAACTACAGTACAGTACTGTACTTGTTCCCGACACTCAACAAAAGACCGTTAAGAATCGTATAACTTCGTTTCTTCTAGTTTTAAGAAGACATTTTTGAATTTAAAATTGATCATTTTTAAAAATGAAGTACGGTAATCCGGAGAAGTTCGTGCTCTCAACTTTCTGAATTTGGAATTTTTCAAGACAAGCAGAGATGAACCTGATGTAGGAGTATATGCACTACTTCTGTAATTTTCAACAATTTCTTTCAAATGTTTCACGGCATTAGTCCAAAATTCGAGAATTTTCCAGCAAAAAGATTTTAAGTGAAACAATTTATTTATGAGACTCACTTTTTCTCGCACAAATTTTTCGTAACGCGGAAAGCTACATCAAAAGCTATGCACGCAGAAAAGTTGAATTTTCGCTTAATTCAGTCGAATTGTTACTGAATCCTAACAAATTTGATAGCTTATGTCCATTTAAAAATCTGAAAAATCTCGATTTCTTTCATGCCTTGGAAAATTTGTCAGAAGCAAGTACACCGATTTGAACTGCTTACCGTCTTGCTGCCGAAATAGCCCCGATGGCCGAGTGCAAACGCGTAACCGTGAGCATTTGGGAGATGGAGGCCACTCCATGTCCTGGTTCAGAAACAAGAATAGCGTCCAGACCATCCAACAGCAACTCCGCCGTCGGCAGTTGTTTCGTTCCCAATTTGTTCTTCAGTTTCATCACTTCCATGTTGTTCAGTCTTCCCTCTTCATCTCTCAGCTTCGCGAAAAACATGGACAACCCCTTCGTTCCCTGTGAGGCATACACGCGAGAACCGTGTTACACAAACATAGGATTTACATCTCCACAAAGAAATGAAAGAATCTCGAAATCGACCACAAAAAACCTCAGATTTCTGCCTGAATGTTCTTGATTTCTTCGACGCTAAGTTATACANATCTAATCAAGATGACAAGAAGCTATGTTCAAATATACACTAAATTAAATAACCTTATGAGAACTGAACTACCAATGCAGATCCCATAATAAGTTGCTTTTTACTGGATCATTGAAATTCAAATTTCTTCCGACACCTTTGCGTTGGCCGCTGACATTTTCACACAAGTAATGATGGCACTTGCAGGAATTTTTTTTTTACATTTTGAACAGTGTACAGTACAAGGTTTTTTAGCTTGACATGAGCGAATCAATACTGTACAGTAATCTTCCAGCTCTGGAATGAATTCGCTACAAATAGAGATCACCTTGGCCACCTCACGAAGCATCTTCGCATTCACAATACTGTATACAGTACTTGTCAGATACTGTAAACCATTGACTCAATAGCAATTCTGTGTACCGTAGTTGAATCTATGCACTAATACGGATATTGAACGAATTGTGAACAAGAATTCCCTCTTCGATTTTTTATGTACTCCATGGAACCAAACGGGTTCAAATGTATAGTATTAGCACAGTACAGTAATGTTCTGAGGAGGTGTTGCTCATACTCCACCTCTGGTGGAAGGTGTCGCTTAAGATAGGACCGTATTTTTGGAGTAGCAGAGTATAGATTCT